GCAAGAGCTGACCTGCGTCTGACCTCAAAGTGCACGAGCTTCAAACTTCAGCGTTGGCTGCGATTTTGAAGCTGAAATCGCGTTCGGTGTGAACGCAGCATAAGAAAGCCAGCAGGTCGCACCAAATCTTCTTTCGGTGCCATCTCCTATCCTGAGCAGCACATCGGTATCAGTGGAAAGAAACATCTCTTTAACAAAAGAAATCTCCAGCAGAACCGTGCGCAGGTCGGGAGGTTGTCTGCCTCGATCAGCTGGGGTTAAAGAGGTCAGGAAGGTGACCAACAGTAACTGTGGTGTAGTTTCTATGTGAAGAAAGACAGAAAAACACGTTTATTGATAGAAATAATTACAACAAACAAGGTGAGTAGAGACAGTGAAGACAGTAGAAGAGTGAAGGAATGTGGTATGTTTGTCCTCCAGCAGTTTAAACCTATAACTGCAGAGCTAAGGAATAACCAAGGAAACCAACCCTAACTATAGGAAAGTCTTCAGTCTAATCTTAAAGGTAGACAGAGTGTCAGCTGGCAGGACCGGCCCTAGCCAGCTTGATGCCATAGGCAAGATTTCAGGTGAAGATTTCTCACTGCCAATTGACATACATCCACATACCAAATGAAATTGTTTGTCTTTGATGTTTTTTTTCATCTTTGGAAAAAAGGTTGTCCAATTAAATTAATTACCAACATAATTAATTTCATATTAAGTCTACACCATACCTGCCAACATCTGCTGACATCATGAAGGACACCGGTTCATGTTAACCAGCAGCTGTGGACTGAAGCAGTTCTAGGGGGCGTCTAGGGGTTAAATTTCGTAAGAAACTTACTTAAAACTTTGCATTTTCCTGCCATTTAAAGACCATTTTACTAAATTCTTGTGATTAATAAAACAAGATATAATCAGTATTTTATGAAGGTAGAACACTGAAAACCAGATTTTAACCTGAACTTTATCTGAGATCATAAGTGAAACTTCCATTATCCTTATTTTTGTGTTTCCACACTGAGCACCAGTAGTTCGTCTTGAATGAATCATATGATACTTTTATCATGAAGCATCTTCTGCATCATATGCAGAAACCTCATGTTTCACCTCATGTAGAAACCAAGCAGCTGAGAAACCCACAGAACAAATTCATAAACCTGAGTAACCAGTGATTATTCTACAAACTAAATCAACTAAACTCTAATAAAATATTTTTTGCTTCCCCCATTTGTGGCACCCCTTTGATGGACGGCACCCTTTTGCATTTGCCTATACCACCTATGCCACGGGTCGACCCTGGAAACGAGAAGTTGGTTCCAGAAGAGAGGAGCTTGATAACTGAAAGCTCTGCCTCCCATTGTGCTTTTAGAAACTGGAGGAACCACAAGTAAACCTGCAGTCTGAGAGCAAATTTCTCTGATAGGAAAGTATGAAACAATAAGATGTTTAATATATGATGGAGCTTGGTTGTTAAGAGCTTTGGATGTTAGGAGTAATATTTTAAATTCTATTCTGAATTTGACAGGGAGCCAGTGGAGAGAAGCTAAAACTGGAGAAATATGACTTCTCCTTCCAACTCTCATTAAAACTCTAGCAGCAGCATTTCTGGATTAACTGAAGACTTCTTAAAGAGATTTTTGGATGCCCAGATAATAAAGAATTACAGTAATCCAGTCTAGACGTGATAAATGCATGAATCAGTTTTTCTGCATCATTTTTGGACAAKATGTTTCTAAATTCAGTGATATTACGYAGATGGAAGAAGGTCCTGGTAACATTTTTAATGTGGGGGTTAAAAGACATATCCTGATAAAAAATAACACCAAGGTTCTTTACATTAGAACTGGAGGCAGATTAATGCCATCCAGTACAGTGATGCAATAATTAGGCAGATGCTCATAATTAAAGCACAGTGAGAAAGTTTAAAACCCGAGTTTTAAATSTAATCAGACATCGTTCAGTAGGAACATGTGGAGGAATGTAACGTCATCGTGGTTTTTAGGTGGAGATTGTTCTCAGAAAAGGTGAGTCTTAAAAGGTTCTTAGAGGAAAATAATGTTGAGTCAGAGCATTTTTTTTGCTTATTTTATTAAAGTTTTTAACATTATGTGTCTGCTTTGTCATATTTGATCAGAGGACAGGGTTGAAAAGTATTTTAATTTTACCTTGTAGTTCATGTGATTGTTGACAGCAACATGTCAGCTTTCACTCACCAGCTGCCAAAAGCAGCACAGAAATATCCACATTTTAGTCCAACAAATGCTCACTGATAGTCATTTTTCTCTCATTCTTTCTTTTGTATTTAATGACTAAATCTGTTTTCCACACTTTCTCTTAGTTACTCTGTACATTATAACTGAGAATAACACAAAGATGGGAGACCCCTGGCTCATTTAGTGCAGTTACTGAGGTGGTGCAGTGTACAGTATTCTTGAAGAGGACACAGCTGTGATTTCTGTCTTCAGTCCATCTCAGACCCCTAGTGGCAACTCGTAACCAGTTAAGATTCTGGAGAGTAAGAGTGATTCGTAGTCTGAAGAGTTTTGATAACATTTACACTTAAGTCTGAAATTCCATTCCAAGAAGTTTGATAAATATGGGCCCTGATGTGTAAAATATATTTATAAAGTGTCTATGATGTCAAAYTTTTGTAATGCATATGAATGCATTTTTAGAAAGAGGACATTGATAAAATACCGCAAAAGAAATTTAATGTTGCTGAGATGAACGGTTGTTGAGATATTTGCATGTGAATTAACAGGAAGTGATGTCAAAGGGGAGAATGTCTGCATGGGAACAGAGCATTGTTAAAATGGCTAACAACCCAGCCTGTCGAGAACAATCTGACTCTTAAGATTATTTTGAGTCACTATCAGAGAGAGGTGAAGAAAAGTCAGAGTTCAAATAATGTTATTGGAGTAATATTGGAGCTTTCTTTGTTAAAGAGTTCCCTTTGATGTCACTTCCTGTTTCACTTTGGCTGAGCCGAGTTCAAAAGAAAATATGACAGCTATGGGACAAAAATGGGTTAAATTGTGTATATTATTCCAACTTTCTTGAATATAAAGATGTTTTCTTTGACTTTTTGTATTTGAAGAATATGCATGTCACAGGCACTTTAAAGCAACAATTGTTGCTTAGCTCCTCTGCTGGCTATCCAGTCTTGTATAAAGTACCTYAAAGTGATACTTGAATTAAAGAACAAGAATCTTAACATAAAAGTACTTTGGTAAAAGTTRAAGTCCTTTTAAGAATATTACTTGGGTAAAAGTATCTGATATTTAAAGTACTTAAGTGTTAAAAGTAACATCGATTAAATGTGACAAAATGGCGTTCAATGGGAGGTGACCTCCACAAAAATAAAACATTTTTCTAAAGACCATAGTGACAATAATGTTATATTAAAATGTTAATGTTGAAACATTTAGGATGCATTAGTCTACCTGTTTCAGCTGCRGATATATCTCATCATACTCAGCTACATACAGTATATGTTCTGCTGCAGTGTGATTTGTGTCGTACAGCTGTGATGTACAAACCAACATGGTGTCAAAATTCTCTATATTTATACTCCTAAACCAACCACAATTAAATTCACCATATCTGGGAGGTCCAGTAGATCTGAGGTTTTTATTTTTGAACAATAACAGGCCAAAATGAAACAGAAGTAATGACTTATATTTTTTAAAATGAAGGGAGTAGAAAGTAAAGATTATTGAGTGAAAATGTAAGGAGCAGAGGTCAGCTGAAAATAATTACTCAAGTAAAGTATTTACTTTACTACTCTGTGGGTATCAGATCATCAGCAGAACCTTTAAGTTAGGGGTCTGCAACCTGCGGCTCTGGGGCCACATGTGGCTCTTTGGTCCGTCTACAGTGGCTCTTTGAAAATGTGACCAAACATAACAGAATAATGTTTTTGTTGTTTTTATACCCACAATAGAAATCAATTTGTGAGCAAATATGTGATCAATACTACTAATACAAAAACTAAAACGTTAGCCTGTTGTTTACTTAAATAATCCAACTTTTGTCTTTCTCTCAAATCCATCAGAATTATCTTTAAAGAATATTAAAAACTACATAATAATAATTAGAAAAAAATAAGCCTGAATAATTCTGTTGTACAATTTTTTATGAAATTAGGTATAAACTAAATAAAGTATTTTTCTTGTTTACATGAATATAGTCTTTTATTTGTCCTGATGGGTAAAAATAATAATAATAAAATGATAAAATTCGCAACAAATTTTTTAGTTTTATAATGTCATCTCCACTGGCTGTAAAAGTTCCCGATAAGGCCTTGAAAAGGCCCACAGACCACCAGTTGATAATCACAGTTGTAGCTTATTTTGTGGCTCTGGACACATTTTATTACTGCGTCAGTGGCAGAAATGTCTCTTTTGATTGTAAAGGTTGCAGACCCCTGCTTTAAGTTCTGTAAACTGGGAGGTAGAAGTCRTATGTTCAGCTCATCACACACTTTGATGGACATCTGGAGAACCTGGAGGGGAAGTTAATGCTCTCCTCAAACCTGCTCAGAAGAACCTGATTCACATGGTTTGAGCAGCACCTCAGGCCTTTGATGTGGAGCCGTCTGCTCTGTCTGAGCCTCACTCAAACCTCTGCTTTCTTTTCGCCTCCTAGGTCTTTATTTCTGTGAACTGCCTGAGCACGGACTTCTCCCTGCAGAAGGGGGTGAAGGGGATGCCTCTGATCATCCAGATCGACACCTACAGCTACAGCAGCTGCAGCAGCCGGCCCGTCCACAGGGCCTTCGCTCAGATCAAGGTGTTCTGCGACAAGGTGGGGAGGAGCGGCAGCTGAGTCGTCCATATTCGGTCAACTTCTGCTTGCTTTTGTTTGACTTGATTTCTGTGTGTGTGCGTTTACTGCAGGGTGCTGAGAGGAAGCTTCGTGACGAGGAGAAGAAACAACTCAGGAGGAGGATAAAAGGTGAGCTCTGTTCCGATGGAAAAAAATACTTCATTTGTATAAATAATATCAGAAGGTGTTTGATCTAAAATGCACTAAAAATGACATGAGTACTTTGATAAACCCATAAAACTGAATATAACTGARGACAGGAGGCTGATTTAACAAAACAAACCTGATCAAACCTCATCACGGTGGTACCTGAGGAGTAGTTGCTAGGCAACAGATGCTGAGTTCGTGCTTTTTCTTTGCGTCAGGGAAAACCAGCAGCTCGGGCTCGACCTCTCCTATTAAAAGGGCTGAACGTACGCTCTTCAAAAGCATGCAGGACCTGGACTCCCAGCCGGTCCTCTTCATCCCTAATGTTCACTTTGGGAACCTGCAGAGAGCGGGCCAGGTGAGGAACCCACCTGGTCCCACACCGCCGTCACGTTTCAGCCTCTCCGTCTGAAGCTTTCTCTCTGTCTCTGCAGGTGTTTGCTGTCAGCACCGAGGAGGAGGTTATCGACACGTGAGCATCATACAGATGGTTTTTCTACGCTCTTGTTTTGCAGGCTCACTTTCTAAAAATCCACCAGTTTGAAAATCTTTATTCRAGGCTGTGGACATTATTTCATTGYCCACCTCCAGCCACTTTTAATTGTGGGGTTTGGCACAAACAGATACAGTGAGCTGAGGATTAACAGGTTTCAATTAGCTGCGCTTTGCTAACGAGCTAAGAAAAGATGCCTCATGTTTTAATCAGGATACGATCTGCCTGTTTAATTTCCATCAGCTGTGAGAAAAGCCCCTGACCACAGACAGACCAGAGGTTCATGTATGGCAGGCAGTTGTATCACATAAGCTTCGACAACTACTGTGGCAAGTTTTTTTTTTTTTTGTATATTTATTCAATATCCCTGACATTAAATGTCATTTTCTTACCTAAGGACTCAGCTAGCTGAGCCGTTATTTATTGTATTTTCATATCAGGAGAGATTATTTCATATTGTTCCTTTTTGTTTTCCATAAAATTTGGGTCATATTTTATATRTTTATTTATTTATTCATTTTATTTCATTCATAAAAACAACAAAAAGTCCATTAAAAAACAAAGTAAATCAATTACTGAATGCAGAGTGTGCAGAAAAGAGAAACAAATCTTAGAATATTTGCCCCTTAATCATTATTAATTAAAACAAGCACTCCTTGTGTTTTCTGCAATAATGCTTTACTGACGGTACTTTGTGTTTGACTCTTGGCCTGAAGGTTGCTTTGTTTTTTTTTAATATTTGACTTTTTATTTTATAGTGCTTTTTATTTTGATTTTTTTTCTAAAAATTAAATTAACTCATGAGGAAATATAAACCTAAGAGTTGCAGCCAAGTGAGATTAAGAAAGATTAAAAGATTTGTGATGAAACGTTCTTGTACAAATTACTGAAGAATCAAGAGGAGTAAAAACCTGTTTGAGAGAAGCTTAATATTTTAAAACAATCTGTTATTTAAGATATTTAATGTTCAAACAGTTAAACTCAATTCATTCATTCATTCATTCATTCATTCATTCATTCATTCATTCATTCATTCACTCACATATTCACTCATTTTGAATTTGATGCTGCAACATGTTCCAAAAAACCTGGGAAACCTCCAAAAGCACCTGTTTGGAGCACTCCACAGGTGAGCAGGTTAATTGGAAACAGGTGAGTGTAAAGGGAGCATCCATGAAAGGTTCAGTCGTTCACAAACAAGGACGGGGTGAGGTTCACCACTTTATGAACAGCTGTGTYAGCAAATAGTTCAACAGGGAGGCACAGTGGCTCAGTGGGTAGAGATGATGCCTCACGGCAAGAAGGTTCAAATCCCAGCCCGGGGACCTTTCTGGGTAGAGTTTGCATGCCCTCTCCGGGCACTCCTGCTTCCTCCCACAGACCAAAAACATGACTGCTAGGTTAATTGGTAACTCTAAATTGTCCCTAGGTTTGAGTGAATGGTTGTTTGTTTCTGTGTGTCCCTGTGAAGGACTGGAGACCTGTCCAGGGTGTACCCCGCCCCTCGGACTGTGACTGCTGGATATGGGCACCAGTGACCCTGAAAGGAGGAAGTGTGTATAAACAATGGATGTATGGATCATCTACACTCTATATAATCAAACTTTGACCGTCATTGGAATTGGATTTGTACGTTCACCCCAACTACAGTAATGTTTAGTTGAACTTCCCTTAGCAAGTTGCACCATGAGTAATTCCTGCAGATATTTGAAGTCTGTAGTTCCTGGCAGAATGAGTACAAGTCAATAAACTGTTTGTTTTTCTGACACAGACCTGGTTTCAATCGGAGTTCATGAATTTTCAGCAAAGCTGAGTCTCAAATAAATCCTCTGTATGGCCACGGGAGGTTAACTGGCCTTGACTCCATCCTTCTGCACCACCTAATAAAAGATTTGCATGAATGTATGTAAACTTCTGACCWTACGTTTGTTCACTGATGTCTTCATCAGAGGAGTTCCCCTGAAGAAGATGAGTCAGGAAGATTTCTGTGCCYTTCCACCCAAGAAGTCCAAACAGGAGCAAGAAAGAAAAGGTGACTAATGTGATTTCTGTAAAAACKGTTTTATTCCATTAATTAAGAAAATAAATCAAATCTTTTGTCTCATCAGTTCTTCTTTATGTGAGGAAGGAGTGTGATGAAGTGTTCGATGCCTTGATGCTGCGAGCACCGACCCTCAGAGCACTGATGGAGGCAGTAAGCATCAACCTGCTGCTGAAACCGTTACACAGAGTCATCCTGGGGAAAAATTCATTTTTATCTTTTAACTTGCTGTAGTTTGATCCTTTTATTTCCTCTTCGCTTCCACAGATTTCTGAGAAATACTCAGTCCCTGTTGACAAGATGACCAGAGTTTACCAAAAAAGCAAAAAAGGGTGAGAAACTTCAACACGAATTGCAGATTTTACTGTCAACTAACAGCTCTGAGAAGCCCGTATTAGATTACYTCAGATATCACAACTTTGATCTGAGGATAAAGAAATATTTAACTTCACAATGTTCCAGACAAAAAAATCAGAAAACCAACAAGATTTGCTAACTGTTATTAGCAAAACAAGATGCTGATAATATATTTTTGTGTATTCGATTTCTTCGAACACTGTAGCAAAGTATATTCTGAGACTTATTTAAAGAGATTCATGATAATAGAAGATAATTACTGCAGCTGTCATCGTGGTAGCCATCTTGGATTTAAGGTTTAAGAGTCAGTCTCATATTGTAAATCCAACTTCATGAGATGTTACAGTTGGTTTCTCTTTACTTGGAACTTTTGTTTCTTGATATACAACGCAGTACTAGTGCCACATAAGTGTACAAGAACAAAGTTATGTAAATAAAGTCTTACATTTTTTTGATYAGGACAGTATTATGACCAGTCGAAAAATGAGCAGAATTCACATTTTGCACTATTGGATTGTAAGAAGGTTTTAAGTGGAGCTTCAAAATGCCAAAACAAGAAATGAGAGTGGCAACCAGTGGCTCCCAACATTACTGTCATGAGCAGGAGATCCCACCTGAGGGGGTTTCTACACGGCACACTGGAGGGGCTCCATCATGATCTGGGTGGTTTTTTGCCTTCAGTGGAACAATGGAGCTTCAGGCTGAGCAGAGGTGTCAAACAGCAGCTGGCTCTGTGGAGATGCTGCAGGGGGTCTCCCTCACGACTGAAGACCACCCACCGTCTGTGTGGTAATGACTGGTTTTTCAACAGGACAACACTGCAGGTCACACTGCCTGATAAAGGACTTCTTCCAGAGAATAACGTGACTCTGTCGGATCATCCTGTCTGCTCCCCTGATCTAAATCCACTGAGAACATTTGGGGATGGATGGCAAGAGAAGTTTACCAAACTGGACCCCAGTTCCAGTGGATGACCTCCATGAAACCATCTTCACCWCTGAGAGCAACATTCCCTCTAGCCTCCTGGAAACACCAGCAGCCAGCATCAAGCCAAAACAACGTTTGAGGTGATTAAAAAGAATGGAGCAGCTACTCATTACTCATGTTGTCTCCATGTTAGGAGAGTTTGAGGCATTTTTGAGATATTTTCTTAAACTTTTGATGATCTGATGAACAGCCTATTTCAGTTTAATACTTGTTTACAATAAAATGATGACTCAGATGGGTTTTTTTTGTGTGTCTCACTCCCATTTCTTTTTGCATTTTGAAGCTCTACTTAGAACCTTCTTAAGATCCAACAGTGCAAAATGGGAACTGTGATTTTTCAACTGCTCGTCTGTTACCAGAATAGTCATAATATTATAAGATTTCCTACATGAAAAATCAGTCTTACCACTGTGTTAAAATAAGGAAYGTTGAGCATCTTGTGAAGTTATACTTTGGTATTAATGTTCTTTAGCTCAGTGGATTCATATGATAATCTGAAGCTGTATGGYGTTGCAGTTAATGGCTGYATTGATGGATTAAGTCGTCACATAATGTGAATGGAAGCATATTACACTAAAGCAGGCATAGGCAATCCTGGTCCTCGAGGGCCGCAGCCCTGCATGTTTTACTTGTTTCTCTGCTCCAACACACCTGAAATAGATGATTATCAGGCTTCTGCAGTACGGAGGACCAAAACTGACTTAAGTAGAAATAAAAGCAGAATTATATGAACCACTAAATAAACACTTAAAATGCACCAATTAAATTTAAAAAGTAAAACTTTATCTACTGTTTTATATTTTAATTGATGTTCATATTTATTTTTCCAGGTAGGTTCCAATAAATTAGTCTATTTATTTTAAAGGGGCAATATCATGTAAAATCAACTTTTTTGAGTTTTATATCATGTTATAATGTTATACTCTCATAAAAAACATGTCCAAAGCCTTGCTCTGACTCATTCATGCATGTTTGAGAAATCCTGAAGTGTTTTTTTTGAAGCCATGCTGAAAAGGTTTTTATAAGGTTTTATATGTTTTATAG